TTTTTGCCAATTGTCTTGCCAAGGGGTTTCAGCCTGGGGCAAGTTCGCTATGGATTCAGTGTGACCAAAGAAAATGACAGCAAAATGTTCTTGGGGTGAAGGGATTATACCCAACTTTATTCTCACAGTGGCAGGTCAGTCACTAAAATCCAATTCACTCAGAGTGAGTCTGCATGCAGTAAGCCAGTCTCTGCCTCTGGGCCCCTCTGTCTGCACAGCCGTCCTGCACAACCATCCTCTGGGCCTCTCTGCCTGCACAGCTGTCCTCTGGGCATCGTCCCACACAGCCATCCTCTGGGCCTCTGTCCTCAGCACTGCCACCACTCCAACCTCTGCTCTGCTCTCCTGCAGCCTTGTAGCCCTGCCACCATGTCATGCCCAGAGCACTGGGCGGAGCTTTTTATAGAGAGTCAACAGCTATGTCCTGCCCACAGGTGTGCAGTGAGCTAGTCAACCAGGGCCAGGTGAGAATCCTGGCCACAGGAACTCTCATTTTATCCACATCAAGTAAAACTCCTTTTTGGGCTTGTTACAGTACATGCTCAGAAAAACCCCTTTCGTGGAATCATGAGACTATCTGTCATATATATATATATATATATATATTCATTTATTTATAATAGTTTTTCTACTATGGGAAGCAAATGGTATCAAGAGATGGTGATTACTGGGAAATGTACCTAACTAAGAATCTTTTGTCCTTTCCTAGAAGGTAAGATGCACAACTACTTTGAGACTGATAATATCTGCAAATGAATTGCCAAAGGCTGTCTTTGTTTAGGAATTATGTTTACTTCTTATATTTTAGGAAGGAAAGGAAGGGAGAGAAGCAAAGCGAGAAGGACAAAGATCTGGTTCAAGTGAGGCAACTGCTCTGTGAACTGCTCTGGCTCATTAGTTCTGCCCAAGAGAAGTAATAAATGGGTCACATTCAAAGACCTGCCAAGCTACAAAGCTGAAGCCTGGAGCTCTGTGGATGATATTCAGGTTTGCTTGGCCTTGCGTTTGGAGTTGAGTAAAAGTAAAGCCAGACCTTTTTTGTATATTAGTCTTGATCTCATTGCAGAAACAATAACCAAATCAAGATCTGGCCTAAAGATGAAAGGTACCCCTAATTTTGGAAGGCTCTAGATTAGGCTCTCTTGCCTGAGGGTTTCAGCCCTTTGCAAGCTCACCACAGATTCAGTGCGACTAAGGAATGACAATGGAACATTCTTGGGGTAAAAGTGTTTATACCTGGCTTTATTCTCCCTGTGATAAGTCTGAGCACTAGAATCATGTCCACATCCAACAGTCTGCAGGTTTGTAATCCTCCGCATCTCTGCCTCCACCCAAGCACTGGGTAGAGCTCTTTATACAGTGACTCAGTCAATAATAGCTTACTGTCTAACAGTGTGGAAGCAGTAGCCTAGCTGTAGGTCAATTATATCAAGTAGTTTAGGGTCAGGTGAGGATCCTGGCCGTAGGAACTTCCATTCTCCCCACAGGCTCCTTTTGGAAAACTATCTCTATTTTAGTTGCTCACATATGGGGAGAGTTGTTCTCCTCTTGCCTAGCTCAATTAGGCTGACATCTTAACATCTGCCTGGAAATGTATGGCTTTTGATTTGAATTATGGCAGCATCAGAGTTTAAGTATGACAGAGAGAAAGTTGAGTCCCAGCCCATTTTTCTTCATATTTTTTCTGGGTAGCAAATAAGTAGGCCTAGTTCACTATTAAGGCTTCAGGTTTGTTCTGGAGCATATTTTGACCAGTGGAGATTATCTACTTTTCTCCACTTCTGGAGATCTTGCTTGTAAATATGACCTCAAGGAGCTGAGTCATACTTACATCAACTGCAGCTGCTTAAATTTGAACTGGTACCTCTGAGTCCCAACTTGCTCAGTTTTGCTCCCTGAGAGCACCCAGAGTTAGTTCTCTTGCCTCTTCCTGAATTATCTTCATTAAGACTGAAGATACTGGAGACCCTTCTGACAACTCATGAAATCACAAGTTGTTCATGAATGCTCCACTATAGTGAAGTTTCCATATTTCTTATATAACTTGCTCGAATAAAACTGTATTTCCAAACTATTTAAAAGCCCCTTGTTTTTTTAATTTATCATTGCAAAAGTCTTCTAGTCTTAATACATATCAAGAGAACTTTTCTACCTCTCATTAATGCACAAATTCCTATGGTTCTTTGTGACACCCAAACCGTTTTCAAGTGTTACTCAGCCTGAGACAGATGTATGGGCAGTTTTAACATTACACATGACCTCTGCTACTGGGACCTGTTAACCCTCTTCATTTCCTTTCTTCCTGACTCTGTCCTACTTCTCTCAACACTGTAGTGGCCTGTTATAAACATAATTTAATATTCTCCTTTCCAATTCCTTGTCCTCCCTTCTCTGAGGCTTTGTAGAGAAAATCGAAGTTCCATGGCCAGGATTCTCACCTGACCCTGGTCTTCTCACCCACTGCTGCAGTGGTGGAGAGGTCCAGAGGCACATATCAGTTTGCTGCATACAGACTGCCCCAAAGGCAGATGTGACTTTAGCATTCAACCTGCTACCATGAGAATAAAGCTTGGTCTAAAACATTTTTTTACCCCCAAAACGTTTTGTTGTCACTTTTCGGTCTCACTGAATCCAGAGTGAATTTGCCTGGGGCTGAAACTCTCAGGCAAGACCGACATATTCTCAGAATGCCTCCGGTTTTTAAAAAATCGGCAGCCTATCCCAGATGCTCCAATGATGCACACTAGTAATGTCACAGGAGTGGCCAGTCTCTGAGGGGTCTTCTCTGGTAATGAAGCACCAATGGAGCTTTGGATCAGTTCCCTGAAGACAGACTATGAACTTCCTTGCCCCTTCCAGTGTAAAAAAAAGTCTCCAATGGTCGTTTGAACACCAATTTCCAAAGCCCTTATTTTCCTGCTGCCCCTTAACTATCTAGTTAAGCTTGAAAACACTGAACAGGTCTGCCCGTGAGTCCCCCAAAGACACTTTAACTGATCTCAAGACGAACACCACACTATCCCTGTTGGTTTGTGCAGGGTCAATTTCTACTTTCACTGACCATATATCCAACAGTTTGAGATTCATGATGTAGATTCTTTCCTGCTCATTTATGGAGTAGAGAATTAATGGGATTTAGTTATAAACCTTTGCTCAAAGGATCTCATGTGAACAATCAGTGAAATTTGAAACCATCTGGGTTCTCCTAGGCCCTGTATTCTCATTTGGTGTCTCTGCACAGCTTCATATTAATCTAGGCATGAAAATCAGCAACTCTGTAACATCCCTAAAATGTTGCTCCATCAGTATTCTTTGTGTTTGCTAATTATGACAAGTTTTGGGGCTGGGGCATATCAAGAACTGCACACCATTCCCCTAACATTTCCGTAGTTCTCTGTCCCACCTTGGCCCCTCTTCTCAAAGTGTAAACAACGTCTTTTTGTCTCATAGAGTATCTTATCCTATTCTTTGAAGCCTTGGGGCCAAGAGACATCTATGCTCCTGAGAGACTCACCTCAAGGGGACCTCTCAAGACATTTTCCTAACAAAGGCAATTTGCTTGTTAAAGAGGAATTCTCATTCTCTTTAAGAAAAATCTCCTTAGATACCACTCATTGGCCCCATACAACATGCCACATATTAAACACTTTATACATTTTTCCACTTAATCACAACAGTATCTTGAGGGAGGCAATACTGTTCCATTTAGATAAAACTGTGGCTCAGGGAGGCTGAGAAATTCACTTAAGAGCACTTAGATGGTGAGGAGTGGAACTGAGATTTGAACCTAAGACTTGACACCACAACCCAACTTGTTAACCACAACTAAGCATCAACAAGGTTCCTAGCACATGATGCTCAGAATATGTAAGATTAGTACTGTTATGTACTATTTGCAACATTAGGGCAGGAGGAAAAAGAAATAGCTCTTAAAGCAAAAGATTCAGTACTCTCAAAAACAACATATATACATAGAATATGCAAATTATTAAAATTTATGAATATGCTATTTTATGTGCTACTATGAAGTCTGTGCCAGTGTGAATAGTTAAAAAGCAACTTCTGTTTTAATATACAGTTGGCTGTGACTGGTCGTTGTGAATCTAATCACACTGTAATAATTACTGAGCACTTTGAGAATGTTTTGTTTTCTGTGAGGTATACAATCAGCTGTAAAGAGATGATCTAGGTCCTCAAGTGCTTATTTTAATTGGATTATTAAGCATGCAGTCCCTGAAAAGTTATTTTGTGGGTAAAATTATAATATTTTCAGAATATCTCGCCTGGCTTTAGTACATCTGCATATCTGCTCATCAATAGGCGTTCAGAGGTGGAAAGAGGTATGGCTTTAGTGCATTTGCATCATTCCTCAGGGGTGGCGAGAAGTTCACCTCCATATCAATGGGTAATTACCTGGGCGATGGAGGGCTTATCAGTACCTGAGAGGTGAGGGGAGGGCCTGTTTCACTTCTGCTGGAGCAGGAAAGAGAGAAGGCCCCGGACTGCAGCTTGTAAGCAATAAACGGATTTTAAACTTTATTTCTCTCTTTGACTGATTTCGGTTTTTAGAGGTATTCTGCCCCGGAAATTCCTCTCCCTGGACTTACATATTGCAAAAAAACAAAAGGTATACTAAACGTTAAATGAGAGGTCCAGTAAATCAGTTACCAAAGCCTGGCAAAGGTCAGAGAAATTCCTTTTTCACAGTAAAGGTGAGATTTCAGACTAGTTTTGAAGAACTAGGATTTGAGGAGTTGTAGAGAAAGTCGGAAATACTTTCGGGTGAGAAGACCGAAGGGAACTACACTGTTTCATCGCAACCCGCTCCCGACGGAACCTCAGCCTGTAACCGAGTCGCAGCGGAGCTGGGATACCACAGCGGCCACCGTCTATGCTTCCGATCGAGGAGCTCCGGGACCGCGCCTCCCTACCCTCTGTTTCCGGCCCTTCAGGCTCCGCCTCAGCGGAAACGGTTCTGTCAGGGGGCGAAAAGGTGGGACACCGCGCCCGCCACGCAGGCGCACCGTGGCCTGCTGCAATGGCGCTGCCGTGCGTCCTGAACAGGTACCTGCTGCTCATGGCTCAGGAGCACCTGGAGTTCCGCCTGCCGGTGAGCCCGCGGCGCCCTCCCCCGCTTCGGATGGCAGTGGGCGGCGCGGTACGGGTTGGTGTGCGGGTGGAGGCGGTCGGGGCACCTGAGCGCGCGGGCGTCCGGGGTGTGCGCTGGTCTAGGACAGCGCGCATCTCCGGTTCCGCCGCGCCTGGGACAGGGACGAGCTCCGCGGAGGGTGTGTGAGAGAGAAGTTAGGGACCGGCTCGCAGCCTTGCTAAGCCTTTTTCTTTGTTCTTCTGCCCGGTTCTGAGTTAAGCGGGTGAGTACGACCAGTTCTCTTCCTCCAGGAAGGAGCTCTTCGTCTCGCGGAGTATAGACAGCCGCTCAGTGCAGTGTCTTCAGTGTCAGATATGCGGGTCAAACTCCGTGGGGGAGGGTGGTAGGGGTTAGATGATGGAGACGTTGGGAAATTGATTTATTCATTTAAGAAACATTTACAGAGTACGTGTAGTTGCATGTGCTGGACACTGGGAATATAACGACGACAAAGACAAGTTTATGTTTTCAAGGTGCTTAGTGTTAAGGCTAAGGGGTGAGCAGAGGCATGGACGTAGCATTATGAAAGAACCTTGGTAAGTGCGGTGACAGGGAGATGCGCCGGGAAATACGAGAGCAGTAAGGGGAACCTAATCCACCTGAGGGGTCGGGGATGTTGGCCTTTAAGGTGGCTTCAACGAGGGTCTAACACCTAAACTGTAAAGAATGAGGATAGCCGGGCAAGGAGAGAGAGAAGTAAATTAGAATTGCAAGCCATTCATTATTACCGGATTACGAAATATGTTAGCAGAGAGAAACAAGAGGAACAGGAGAGGTGATAGGGGCCAGACAACGCAAAACTGTGAATGCCCAGCAGCTTGGAAGTAAAATTTATTGAAGAGTTTTAAGGAAGTGACAGAACCATATTTTTCTTTTGAAATCACTTAGGCAGTTTTATAGAGGAAAAATTGGAGAAGACTAAGTCTAGAATAGACCAGTTAGGAGTCTGTTGGAATTACTAATAGACTGGAAGAACTGAACTGTGGCAAGGCATAAGAGGTTGGGATAGACTGGGAAAATTTTAGGTGATAAAAATAATCAGGGCTTGATAACTGATTGAATGTGGGGAGAAGAGGGACCAGTCAAGGATGACTCCTGGGATGGCTCTAAGGGTGTCTCCATTTAAAGTAGAGAGCACAGGCAGGTATAGGATTTAAATTTTGGTTATGATGTATTTGATGTGCTGGTGTAGCATTAAGTGGAGATGACTGACCATGAGGCAGTGAATATATGAATATACCTAGAGCATGATAGAGTGGTTTGGACTCATAATAAATATTTGGGAGCCCTCTTCATATAAACTCTAGAAGAGCACATGGTGATATTTAGAGAAAGCATTGCATCAGAAGAGTAGTGGGCCAAATACTGGTGCTTGGAAGCATCCATAGTAAGGAGATGTGAGAAAAGAGGAGGTCATGAAGAAGACAGACAAATGTCAGAACAGGAAGGGTGTGAGGCCACCGAAATCAGGGGAGTGAAGTTTTTGGAATTTTGTTAGAGCTGTTGTGCAGTTTTGGGGAGGTGGAGCTAGATTACATGGTTTAGTTGTCACTGGAAAATGAGGAAGAGGAGAGAGAGTAGACTGCTCTAAACTAGAGCATCAGAAGGGAAAGCAAGAGATGGGTTAACAGTTTGAAGGGGACCTACTGTAAAGGGAGAACCTTGGCCTTGGAGAGATTGGCATATTTGTGGACTGAAGAGAAGGGGAGAATGGATATAAATTCACAATGAGAGGTGTTGGCTTTTCAATAATAGACGGAGAGAGTGGGCTAAGAAGAATTAGGACGGGTGAGGGGTCGCTGTCTGAGGGCCTGCTCTGTAAGTAATGAATGAGTCAAGGTTATTTCTTGGGAGATGGGGGACCAAATAGTTAAATGGAGGAATTGAGAAGAGTAGTAAAATTTGAAATAGTCGTTGAGAGCAAAGGAGGGAGCTGACAAGATAAACAATTGTATAGAGAAGAACACAGGTGTTAAGAGTAGTGCTGAAAACTCAGCTGAAGGTGAAGATTATGTCTTTATAATTGTACCAATATTCTGTGATCTTCAGCTGTGCTGAACTCACCTTGAGAATTATGAAGACTGGCATACATGCACAGACCTTAATTGATAAAGGATATGTTCTGTGGGTAAAGATGACTGGAAAGAACTCCACTGAGAAACAAGCAAGTGTAAAGGTGCAGAGGGATGGTTGATTATGGTGGTGTGGGACATGTGGGGAGGGAGAATGAAGCAGTGGGCATGAGGCTAGAGAGGTGGGTAGGATACAGATTTTAGAGTGTTTTGAACCATTGCAAGGAGTTTGGATTCTATTTTAGTCTTAATAGGGAACCATTCTTTTTTCCTTTGTAAACCAGGAAGTGACTAGTAATCATTTATGTTTTAGAAAGGTAATTCTGAAGTTCCAGAGAAAGGATACCGCTTAGATGATGCTGGAGTGGAAATAGAGAAAGGCCAAGAGTGTCTATGATCAGGCAGTGCAGTGAGAATGGAATGATGAGGCTTCAGATTTAAGAAAAACATCCTTTCTACTCGGTGATACTAACTTTTTCTGCCTTCTTAATTTCTTCTTAGTCACTGTTGTACCCTGGTGCCTGTTGAATTGCCCAAAAGCTCAGTTCCATACATCCTTATTGACCCAGCGCTGAATCTCTTTAGTTTAGTATTCAAGGTCCACCATTGCATGGTTCTCTCCTCTCTCTCCACCCCTCCACGTCCCAGTGCAGCCAAAACTGACTCCCATGATTCCTTGAATGATGCTTTCATTTCCTGTATTGGCCTCTACTCCCTTATGTCTCATTTGCATGTGACCTATTTCAGTCTTCAGTGTGTTGATTTTATTTATTCATTTTTTTTATTATACTTTGTCTAAAGACCTTTAAAATTAACAGAAATTAAAACCATATTTTTGCAACTGATACTGTGTTCTTTTTGGTAACATCCCAAGCATTGATCATTGACTTGACAGAAACCACGAGTTGAAAAGCATTGCTTAGCCTTTCTTTTTTTTCTTTTTGTAATTATTATTATTATTATTATTTTAATTCAGGTGTGATTGATATACCCTCTTATGAAGGTTTCACATAAAAAGCATTGTGTTTACTACAGTCACCCATATTATCAACTCCCCCCATACCATCAGTGTAGCAAGATGCCACAGTCACTACCTGTCTTCTCTATGCTACACTGTCCTTGCCGTGACCCCTCACACACCATGTGTACTAATCATAATACCCCTCAATTTTCTTCTCCCGCTCTCCCCATCCACCCTCTCCTACCCCTCCCCTTTGGTAACCGCTAGTCCTTTCTTAGAGTCTGTGAGTCTGCTGCTGTTTTGTCCCTTCAGTTTGGCTTCATTGTTATACTCCACAAATGAGGGAAATCATTTGGTACTTGTCTTTCTCTGCCTGGCTTATTCACTGAGCATAATACCCTCTAGCTCCATCCATGTTGTTGCAGATGGTGGGATTTGTTTTCTTCTTGTGGCTGAGTAGTATTCCATTGTGTATATGTACCACATCTTTATCCATTCATCTACTGATGGACACCTAGGTTGCTTCCTTATCTTGGCTATTGTAAATAGTGCTGCAGTAAACATAGGGGTGCATATGTCTTTTTGAATCAGGGATCTTGTTTCTTCTGGTAAATTCCTAGGAGTGGAATTCCTGGGTCAAATGGTATTTCTATTTTGAGTTTTTGGAGGAAACTGCATACTGTTTTCCACAGTGGTTGAACTAATTTACATTCCCACCAGCAGTGTAGGAGGGTTCCCCTTTCTCCACAATCTCGCCAACATTTGTTGTTTGTCTTTTGGATGCTGGCCATCCTAACTGGTGTGAGGTGATATCTTATTGTGGTTTTAATTTGCATTTCTCTGATAATTAGCGACGTGGAGCATCTTTTCCTGTGCCTGCTGACAATCTGAATTTCTTTTATTTTTATTTTTGGCATCAGTAATATACACTTACATGAGCAACACTGTGGTTACTAGATTCCCCCCATTATCAAGTCCTCACCACCTGTCCCGTTACAGTCACTGTCCATCAGTGTAGTAAGATACTATAGTCACTACTTGTCTTCTCTGTGCTATACTGCCTTTCCCGTGCCAACCCCCTACATTATGTGCAGTAATCATAATGCCCCTTTTCCCCCTTCCCTCCCTTCCAACCCCTCCTCCCCAGTCCCTTTCCCTTTGGTAACTGTTAGTCCATTCTTGGGTTCTGTGAGTCTGCTACTGTTTTGTTCCTTCAGTTTTTTCTTTGTTCTTATACTCCACAGATGAGTGAAATCATTTGATACTTGTCTTTCTCCGCCTCTGAATTTCTTCTTTGGAGAATTGTCTGTTCATATCCTCAGCCCATTTTTTAATCAGGTTATTTGCTTTTTGGGTGTTGAGGTATGTGAGTTCTTTGTATATTTTGGATGTTAACCCCTTGATGGATATGTCATTTACAAATATATTCTCCCATACTGTAGGATGTGTTTTTGTTCTATTGATGGTGTCCTTTGCTGTACAGAAGCTTTTTAGTTTGATGTAGTCCCATTTGTTCATTTTTGCTTTTGTTTCCCTTGCCTGAGGAGATGCGTTCAGGAAAAAGTTGCTCATGTTTATATTCAGGAGATTTTGCCTATGTTTTCTTCTAAGAGTTTTATGGTTTCATGACTTCCTTTCAGGTCATTGATTCATTTTGAGTTTACTTTTGTGTTTGGAGTTAGACAATAATCCAGTTTCATTCTTTTACATGTAGCTGTCCAGTTTTGCCAACACCAGCTGTTGAAGAGGCTGTCATTTCCCCATTGTATATCCATGGCTCCTTTATTGTATATTAATTGACCATATATGCTTGGGTTAATTTCTAGACTCTTTATTCTGTTCCATGGATCTATGGGTCTGTTCTTGTGCCAGTAGCAAATTGTCATAATTACTGTGGCTTTGTAGTAGAACTTAAAGTCAGGGAGCGTAATCCCCCCAGCTTTGTTCTTCCATCGATTGCTTTGGCTATTTGGGGTCTTTTGTGGTTCCATATGAATTTGAGAACAATTTGCTCTAGTTCGTTGAAGAATGCCATTGGTATTTTGATAGGGATTGCATGGAATCTGTAGATTGCTTTAAGCAGGATGGCCATTTTGACAATATTAATTCTTCCTATCCATGAGCACGGGATGTGTTTCCATTTATTAGTATCTTATTTAATTTCTCTCATGAGAGTGTTGTAGTTTTCAAAGTATAGCTCTTTTGCTCCCTTGGTAAGGTTTATTCCTAGGCAGTTTATTCTTTTTGATGCAATAGTGAATGGAATTATTTTCCGGATTTCTCCTTCTACTAATTCATCATTAGTGTATAGGAATGCAACAGATTTCTGTGTGTTAATTTTGTATCCTGCAACTTTGCTGAATTCACATATTAGTTCTAGAAGCTTTGGAGTGGATTCTTTAGGGTTTTTTATGTACAATATCATGTCATGTGCAAACAATGACAGTTTAACCTTTTCCTTAGCAATCTGGATGCCTTTTATTTCTTTGTGTTGTCTGATTGCCATGACTAGGACCTCCAGTACTATGTTGAATAAAAGTGGGGAGAGTGGGCATCCTTGTTTGTTCCTGATCTTAGAGGAAAAACTTTCAGCTTTTCACTGTTAAGTGTGATGTTGGCTGTGGGTTTGTCACCTCCTTAAATATGGCCTTTGTTATATTGAGGTACTGCCCTCTATACCCATTTTGTTGAGAGTTTGTATCATGAATGGTTGTTGAATTTTGTCAGATGCTTTTTCAGCATCTATGGAGGAGATCATTTGATTTTTGTCCATCTTTGTATTGTCACAGTGGATGATGTTGATGGATTTTTGAATGTTGTAGCATCCTTGCATCCCTGGGATGAATCCCACTTGATCATGATGTATAATCCTCTTGATGTAGTTTTGGATTTGGGTTGCTAATGTTTTGTTGAGTATTTTTGCCTCTATGTTCATCAAGGATATTGGTCTGTAGTTTTGTTTTTTTGTGTTGTCTTTGCCTGGTTTTGGTATTAGAGTGATGCTGACTTCATAGAATGAGTTGGAAGTATTCCCTACTCTTCTATTTTCTGGAAAACTTTAAGGAGAATGGTTATCATGTCTTCTCTAAATGTCTGATAAAGTTCAGTGGTGAAGCCCTCCAGTCTGCGGTTTTGTTCTTGGGTAGTTATTGATTACCAATTCAATTTCATTGCTGGTAATTGGTCTGTTCAGATTTTCTGTTTCTTCCTGGGTCAGCCTTGGAAGGTTGTATTTTTCTAGAAAGTTGTCCATTTCTTCTAGGTTATCCAATTTTTTAACATAAAACTTTTCATAGTATTCTCTAATAAGTGTTTGTATTTCTGTGGTATCTATAGTGATTTTTCCTTTCTCATTTTTCATTCTGTTTGTGCGTGTAGACTCTTCTTTTCTTGATAATTCTGGCTAGGGCTTTATCTATTTTGTTTATTTTCTTGAAGAACCCACTCCTGCTTTCATTGATTCTTTCTATTGTTTTATTCTTCTCGATGTTATTTAGAAATTTATTATTTCCACTCTAATCTTTATTAAGTCCCTCCATCTACTGACTTTGGGCCTAATTTGTTCTTTTTCTAGTTTTATTAATTATGAGTTTAGACTGTTCATATGGGATTGTTCTTCTTTCCTGAGGTATGCCTGTATTGCAATATACTTTCCTGATAGCACGGCCTTCACTGTGTCCTGCACGTTTTATGGTGTTGAGTTATTTTTGTCATTTGTCTCCATATATTGCTTGATCTCTGTTTTTTATTTTTTGGTATCATTAATCTACAGTTACATAAGGAACATTATGTTTACTAGACTTCCCCCATCACTAAGTACCCCCCACAAACCCCATTACAGTCACTGTCCATCAGCGTAGTAAGATGCTGTAGAATCACTACTTGTCTTCTCTGTGTTGCACAGCCCTCCCCCCACATTATACATGCTAATTGTAATGCCCCCTTTCTTCCCCACCCCATTATCCCTCCCTTCTCACCCATCTTCCCCAGTCCCTTTCCTTTTGGTAACTGTTAGTCCCTTCTTGGGTTCTGTGTTTCTGCTGCTGTTTTGTTCCTTCAGTTTTTTTTTTTTTTTGTTCTTATACTCCACATATGAGTGAAATCATTTGGTACTTGTCTTTCTCCACCTGGCTTATTTCACTGAGCATAATACCCTCTAGCTCCATCCATGTTGTTACAAATGGTAGGATTTGTTTTCTTCTTATGGCTGAATAATATTCTATTTTGTGTACCACCTCTTCTTTATCCATTCATCTACTGATGGACAGTTAGGTTGCTTCCGTTTCTTGGCTATTTTAAACAGTGCTGCGATAAACATAGGGGTGCATCTGTCTTTTTCAAACTGGGCTGCTGCATTCTTAGGGCAAATTCCTGGAAGTGGAATTCCTGGGTCAAATGGTAATTCTATTTTGAGCTTTTTGAGGAATCTCCATACTGCTTTTCACAATGGTTGAACTAGCTTTCATTCCCACCAGCAGTGTAGGAGGGTACCCTTTTCTCCACAATCTCGCCAACATTTGTTGTTGCTTGTCTTTTGGATGGTGGCGATCCTTACTGGTGTGAGGTGATATCTCATTGTGGTTTTAATTTGCATTTCTCTGATGATTAGTGATATGGAGCATCTTTTCACGTGCCTGTTGGCCATCTGAATTTCTTCTTTGGAGAAGTGTCTGTTCAGCTCCTCTGCCTATTTTTTAATTGGATTATTTGCCTTTTTGTTTGTTGAGGTGCGTGAGCTCTTTATATATTTTGGATGTCAAACCTTTATCGGATCTGTCATTTCTGAATATATTCTTCCAAACTGTAGAATGCTTTTTGTTCTATTGGTGGTGTCCTTTCCTGTACAGAAGCTTTTCAGTTTGATATAATCCCACTTGTTCATTTTTGCTTTTGTTTCCCTTGCCCAGGGAGATATGTTCATGAAGAAGTCGCTCATGTTTATGTCCAAGAGATTTTTGCCTATATTTTTTTCTAAGAGTTTAATGGTTTCATGACTTACATTCAGGTCTTTGATCCATTTTGAATTTACTTTTGTGTATGGGGTTAGACAGTGATCCAGTTTCAATCTCTTACATGTAGCTGTCCAGTTTTTCCAACACCAGCTCTTGAAGAGGCTGTCATTTCCCAACTGTATGTCCATGGCTCCTTTATCATATATTAATTAACCATATATGTTTGAGTTAATGTCTGGAGTCTCTATTCTGTTCCACTGGTCTGTGGCTCTGTTCTTGTGTCAGTAATAAATTGTCTTGATTACTGTGGCTTTGTAGTAGAGCTTGAAGTTGGAGAGCAATATCCCCCGCACTTCATTCTTCCTTCTAAGGATTGCTTTGGCTATTCAGGGTCTTTGTTGGTTCCATATGAATTTTTGAACTATTTTCTCCAGTTCGTTGAAGAATGCTGTTGATAATTTGATAGGGATTGCATTGAATCTGTAGATTGCTTTAGCAGGATGGCCATTTTGACCATATTAATTATTCCTAGCCAAGAGCATGGGATGAATTTCCATTTGTTAGTCTCCTCTTTAATCTCTCTTAAGAGTGTCCTCTAGTTTTCAGTATATAGGTCTTTGATCTCTGTTTTTGTTCATTGATCCATTGATTATTTAGGAGCATGTTGTTAAGCCTCCATGTGTTTGTGGACTTTCTTGTTCTCTTTGCGTAATTTATTTCTAGTTTCATACCTTTCTGTTCTGAGAGCCAGTTGGTACAATTTCAGTCTTTTTGAATTTTATGAGGGTGTTTTTGTGGCCTAGTATATGATCTATTCTTGAAAATGTTCCAAGTTCATTTGAGAAGAATGTGTCTGCTGCGGCTTTTGGGTGTAGAGTTTGTTTTGAACCAGTTTCCTTTGACATTTCATATTTGTAGGTGTTGCCCTCTACTGCCCAGAAGCTCTACTCTCTGGAGCTGCTCAGCACCTGAAGCAATGGTGGGGATCACAGGTGAGCAGTGCTCCTATGTGTCAGGAGGAAAGAGGCCTTTCCTGCTTCCCCACTGCAATGCCTGTCTCCACTGGCAGGGCCAGTGGGCCAAGTTCTCAGGGAGAAATCTCTGTGCTTTACACTTGTAGCTGCAGAGGCAGGGTTGTCCTCTGACTGACCTGGCACAATGGTGGGGTCAGCTGGTTTGTGAGCTGGTGCCAACCAGGAAGAAGTTGCAGCAAGCTGCATATCATGGTGAGGGGCCTCAGAGCTGCGTGCCAGCCAGGGTCATGGAGCTCCTGAAGCTTCGCTCCTGGAAGTTCCCAACCTCCTGGGCAGAGTGCGTCTAAACAATTTTGTCCATCTGTCCTTTCTCCTGAGCAGCAAGGTCTGTCAATCCTTGTCCCTTTATCAGCCTTCTCACTGTTAGGAAGTCTCTCAGACTGCCTGCCTCTCTTTTGTCCCAGAGCAGTTGGATGTGGATCCCTCTTTTCCACAAGCAGCTGCAATCTCAGTCTCTCTAAGTGTTCTGCCTGTCTTAGCTTTCCAACTCCACTAATCTCCTGGGCACCATGTAATGTAGGTTTGTGCTCCCAGAGCGTATCTCCAAGGCTGCGTGTTCAGCATTCCTAGGTGTTCACCACCTCCCTGCTCTGTTTCTCTTCCTCCCCCTGGTAAGATGGGGTGAGGGAAGGGCTTGGGTTCCTCCTGATCACGGCATTGGTACTTTACCCTTTTCCTTGAGGTCTGCTGTTTTTGCCAGGTATAGACAGTCTGCCACAGCCTTCTTTACTGTTGCTCTTTCAGGATTTTGATATATTTGCTATATTTTCATATTATATGTGGTTTTGGGAGGAGGTTTCTGTCTCATCTGTCAAACTACCATTTTAATCCTCTATGTTGATTTTATATAGTCAATATTCATTTAGATTTATTCACACGTTTATTTTATTTTAAATTTATATTTTTTACATGATTCTTTTACAACTCTGCAATTTGTTTAATAGTTTTTCATCCTCTGCCAAAATCCTCAATTGTGTCTTTTATCCCCTTTAATATAGAAAGCATAGTTATGTTGTCTATAGTAAAATATAGAATATGGAAAGTAGAAATATATTCTATATAGAATATAGAAAATATGGAAGTAGAAAGCACAGTTAATATGTTAAATATGATAAAAAGGGTCCTGTGGGTCTATTTATTTTGTGTATTGTTTCTCTTGGTTCTTTTATATGTGTGATGGATTATTCTTTATATATGTATCAGAAGTATCTGAAAATTGAAGAAACAACATGAGGCCTAGGATGATGTAAATCCTCTAGAAGAGGAAAGAACCACATAGGAGCATTAGCAACCTACAATCACTTGAACTCATTTTCAGGCATTCAGTTCTGATTCTGTTCTGATTCACACATACTTCTAGGGTGTGTAGCTTTTTGAGATCCCAGTCTAAACTGGGTGGTTTATCAAGCCTACTTTCCTCCCCACAATGGATGGCCCTAGTTTTTGTCTGTCTCCTACCAAGCTATCAAAAGAGCTCTTCATCCTCATGGCTTCTTTTGGGAGTTGGTAATGTCCCGGCAAGCAAGTGGCTGCAGCTTAGATTTCTGTCCTCTCCTGGTTCTTGCTTTGACAGTTCTTGAATCTCTCCATGCCTTTGAGCAAATATCAGGTTTTTCTAGATCTTATTAGCAGGAGGCTTAATCTGAATTACCTGGTTTGCCATCCTTGAAAGTGGAAGTCTTCTTTCATCTGTGTAGATTCTGTGTTTCAAGGCTGAAGTCAGTTTTCATTGAGACATTTCTTATAAAATAGGTAATTTTTTCCTCCCTTGTACTCTTATGTAATACTTTTTTTGCTTTTACCTCTTTAAGACCACTCACTGTTTTACACCCCACATTTCGGTTACTAGGTTAAATGTTTTGTTTGTTTTACTAGACTTTAAGCTCTCTGAGAACAAGTATGTATTTATCTTTACATAGCTCAGTGACATATGAATTTTTAAATAAATACTGAATTGGGTGAAAGATGGCTTCAGAGAAGAAAACAGGACCGCCTCCACTGCTGGGCCATCAGTTGTATTGGAACTGCTGGGCAGGCAAGCTGTGAAGAGCAGCTGTCTTTATGATTTCAAATGAGAGAGCAGGAATGTAAGTTTGGTCCAGTGTTACCTCTGTAGAGTTAATCAAGGCCAGTTTTAGTTGGCAGCTGCCTTATTGTACAAAAAGTGAAGTTCAGATCCCTGGATTTTATTGCTTGTTCTGAAGCAAACTAAATGGATGAAAAAGTGAGAGGCTAAAAGCACTGAAATGCTCATGTGAGTTAATCAGGCATATTTTTATATCCAGTATAAATTATTTTGTTCCTAATGTGGAAAGAGTCTCAACTAGAAAATGAATTTGCCATAGCTAAGTAAGTATTCAGTGTTTTGCTTTTTCCAAGTAAATTGATGGTGTAGTTTAATACATATTTTTCTTTTAAATTTGAAACTTGAGTTAGTCACATTTATTTTCAATGTTAAGTTGTTGATTAAGTTTTAGGCTAATGCTATGCCATGTAATTTCCAATAATCCATCACTTTTTTTTTAACTCATAGAGCCTTTTTTATAAGCATGTTTATGATTTTTAACAAGTTGATTTCATAGCATGCTTTAACATAGAATGAACAATCATTCTAGACCAAGTAACTTAATCTGTAATTGCATTTTTTCTTTTAAGTATTATAACTGTTAATCTTGCTTGATTTCTTAAGCCACTGGACTTCAAGGACCATGTTGTGGCCACCATCCACCATCATCTTGATTCCCTTGCTAACAGTGTGGGTTCTGCACTTGTTTATAGATCCCCTACCTCATGAAGGAGCTTTTACAGATGAGGGAACTGAGAGTTAACTGTCTTGTATAAATCCACATAGAGCTAAATGTCTTGTATAAATCCACATAGAGCTAAATGTCTTGTATAAATCCATATAGAGCTAAATGTCTTGTATAAATCCACATAGCTACTGTTTGGAAGAGCTGAAAATCAAATTGTGAGTCTGTTTGACTCCCAGGTCCAATGGTGCCTCCAAATTAAATTTGTGTCACCTACCTTGCAAAATGATTTTGGGGCTAGCTTCAGTGATTTACTATCTATGCTAGTTCTTGGTCTGTCTGTATAATTCAACTGAATTTAGCCCTGTAGATATCAGATTAAAAACAAAGGGTTTGTTGCATAGACAAGAGGAAAAACAGAAATGCTACTAACCTCCCATTCTTTTGGTCTTGAGTAGAGGGTGTTCATAATCTAAGTATACTTTTTCTAGTGACTGTGACTCCTAATGTCAAAGGCCCTTTTTCCTAGTTTGCAGCAAACTTTCCTAGTTTAGGCCTCTGTAGGCAACCAGCAGTGGGGACTCTTGTCTCTAATTAGATTAGCTCTTCCGTAAGACCTGTACAGAGGAGTGGGATTCTGCCTGTGTTGTTGAGGAGACAAAACTTGTTAGTAGTACAAATCATAAAACTTATATAGTCATTTTATATTTATCAATGCAAAGTAACTGCTTCATAGAATATACATATTATCTAAACAGAATTCAACTTTGCATACCTAATGCTTTAAAATTAACTATTGTCTTCTCTTTCTAGTTCTGTAACTTTATCCAGAAAGAAGAGGGGGTTAACTTAACTGTAACTTATATTTAAGATACCACAATGATGCTCCCTAGTTAATCACTTATTTCTTCTCTAAAATCTTCAAATTATCTGTTTCATTATTCATTTTTGTCAGTCAAATGTCAGATTTAATTTGTAGTTTTTGTCATCTGTTTTTTCCTTTTCAGAATCAGAGTGTTTTCTGACTCTTTTGGCAGCTCTCCTGTTGTCTAAAATTTTTCAGAAATTACTTACCATGTAAAATTTTTTCAGACCCCAGAGTTGTAGTCTGATGTTGAATTTAAATACCTTGGTAGATCATTAATCTTATACCTATATTAATAGACTTTGAGTTCCCTGTGTTAAAATGTGTTTTCTCTATAATATTTTCAATATAGGAAATAAAGTCTTTACTTTCACTTTTTGGTGGTCAGTTCACCAGTAGCCAGGACACTTATGGAAAGGTAAGTTGAATTCATATTTTTTCATGAGACCACTATAAGTATACTTACAAATAGAGCCTTGGGTTTCAAGAGAACTAAATCTCATATTTATATTTGTATAGTTATTTTCATCTGTTTCTAAGGGCAATGAAATAAAAAGGATATTTTGGGGAAAGGTTATGGTTTGGGAAAATCATTTAGGCTTATTTCCAGTATTCACTTAGTCTGTTAGTTTTAATTTTTCATTTAACAGTTATACCATAATTTGTATCTATCTCTTCATTGAAAAAGGACTCTCTTCCACTGATGAGGTATAATTAGAATTAGAATTTAGAATTTAGTAGATTTCAGTCTTATATTGGGAATTATTTTAAAATTTCAAATTGTGCATGTATAATAAAAGTGAATTTTTATTCTGTATTTATCAGTGTTTTAGAGAAGTTTGGAAAATAGAAAAAGAAAAACATCATTCACAATTCTTCCTCCTTAATATGACTTGTAATTTGGGGATGCTGCCATCCAGTCTTTTTTCCCCCTCAGTTGTAATACTATTTATGAACTTCTGCAGTTTATTTTTCATTTGATAGTATTAATATAGGGACATATCACTACATAGCTTTCATCACTAAGTGGGCTATGTGTAAAATTTTCCATAAATGAGCTCCATCATAATTTATCTAACAATTTCATTTCATTCAGATTGCTGTTAAAATGTTCTAATAAAAGTAATACTAAACTGACCATCTTTTTCCTCTTTGGAGTATTTTGGATTTTTCTGTAGAGTAATGTAAATACTGGAATAAGAAGGACTGGGTGTGGCATGGAAGATTTCTTGGCAAAAGATGAGAGAATTTAACTTGAAAATCCCTTTATGTTGGATTTATACTCCTGAGTGACTTTTACTTACTGAAAGAGGAGTAAAGAGGGAGAGTGTGGATATAATTGGATGAGGGTATGGATTGAGGTCAGGGTTCTGCTGTATCTGACAAGGGTCTATTGGGTGGAGATTAAAAGTGCCTGTAATTTGGGTGTTGAGACAGGGGATTATGACGTGATCCCTCTCTCCCACCCAATGCACCTGGAATGTTTTTCCTTAGAAAAATAATAAAAATCAATAATAATTTAATAATAAACTCTATGATTTTTCATCATAATTATTTCAGAGAGTCCCTTCCCCACCCCTCCCAGGTAGCCACAACTATCTAGAAAAAGAGGGATCAAAGAAATATATTACTTAGAAGTTAAAAGTAAAATAGCTAGCTATGTTGTAAAGAATGATTAACAATCATAAATTCTGAGATTATGCTTTGGGGTATAATGTGCATTAATTCTCTTGGTCAAACAAACATAAGGGAGCAAATACAAAATTAATTTTAAATAATCTTATGTTTGCTGATCTTTTCACTTATAGAGTCATTTATAAAAGAGTTCTGACATCATACTGTATTATCCTAACAGGTTGCCTAGTAAAAACAATACTACTGGAACAATTTTATTTTGGTTAGAGTCAGATTGGGTACTTTTTCATAAAAGTAGCAAATAGGAACCTTTCCTTACTGACTTTTTGAATAAAAGCATATGAGGCCATAAAAACACTTAGAAATAAGTTGTATATTGTTATTTCTTTCAGTCTCCTTTTTGGATTCTTACCATTCCCTCTGAAGATATTGCCAGAAACTTAATGAAACGGACAGTGTGTGCCAAGTAAGAGAAACTTACAGTGTTCGCCTGCAGAGTGTACCCCATACTTCTTGTAACTACTTTTTTCTACTTTTTGTTATATTGGTAAAAAATAAAAAGGTTGGTTGTTGAGCGGAAGCACAGTTTAGCTTGCAGTTACTGCATTTACCACTGGATGGTGGTGGGAGAACAGAGAGTTAACTACTGAAAACTGAGGGTGAGAATCTCAGTGGTGAAAAGCAGGAATATTTATTTTCAGTAATTTTTAAAAACTTCTATATTAAGCAGGAGTATGGTATAAAAGATGTAAATGCTATGTTTTTTCTTCTGTGTTAAGCAGGAATATGGTATAAAAGATGTAAATGTTATTGGATAATTGCCACATTTAAATATAACCAAAGTGTTGAAAATCTGAAAATGTTTTTTCTGATAGGTGGTTTTTAGTAGATGAGCAGATTGGTCAAGTGTAAGATGACGAAAAATGAGGTCTACCATGAAATATGTTTTACTGTTTGATTTGTTAGAGGAATTCTAATTATCATATCTTGGTATGGAAATGTAATGATGTTCATCATTTATTCTGTAAACCAATTTTTTCCTTAAAAAAAAAAGCTATGACAAATATCCCAGTGCCTCTTTCTCAATTACATTCCCCTCCTTCCCTCAAAAGATAGTTTCTTAAAGCATTTTGTCAGAAAGGTTTCATTGCTACTGCTGCAATCAGTGAAATATTTCAGATCATTGTGGATTTTATATTAAGTTGACATCCTTGCTTATTTATACAGAACCTGTGAGAAATGTGGCAATCTAAATAATTTTTATAATTTCTAAAATAGGGATCATGACAGTTAAGTCAGATATATGAAAACTGTTTATTCTAAAAATCTGTTATGAAAGGTAATACTATAATGTCCCAATTATTTCATATTTTGTTCTAAGTTATCTTTATGGTATAGATCCTATGTTAGGGATAAATATCTTGGGATTCCTGTTTGCATTTTTATATCTGAGATGCAGTATATCATAGTGGTAAAGAGTATGGAATGTGGAGTCAGATGGATTACATTTGAATCCCATCTTCATCAGTTGCTGTATGATGCGGTAGAGTTATTTAATCTCTTTGTGTCTCAGTTTTCTCAGCTACTTCATAGGCTTCCTGTGAGGAATAAGTGAGTTCGTACTAAATGGCCTTAGAACAGTCCCACGTACTTTTGAGTTATAGTAAGTGTTAGCTATTAAGTTTATTGTTTTTGCTTATCAGGGTTTTCCCTTGCCAGAGGTTGAGTTACCTATACTTTCCCTCAATTAAAGCTTCCAGGAGTCTTTTTTCTCCTCTAAGTTTCATGAGGGCAAGTGAGCTTTTTCTCTGCTGTGTCCCAGTGCTAGAACAATTCATCATATAGAAATCCATAGTAAATATTTGTTGAATTAATGAATTTGACCGAACTTATTATTATTTAAACATTAAGAAAAAAACAATTTTGGGATATTCATTTAATTTTTTTTGTTATTCTTGCCTTTTATTCTCTGTTTTGTGTAGCTGAGGTCTGAAGTGATGAGTAGAATTGCTGCAGAGGCCCTCTGTTTATAAATGTAATAGAAAAGAAAGGAGGAATTCATTTTCAAAGGATGATATTCATAATACTAATGACAGCATTAATTACAATTATACTTTGAATTTAGATGCACAAAACTGTACTTATCTATAGAGTCCCATTACAGCTAATTCTAAGAACTGAGTAATTGACTGCAATGAAATTTTCCTTGTAATTGTTTAAATGCTCCTTGAAGTCAATGGAAGCTTGAGAATATTTTTTTTACAGTTAGAGTTGTTTTTGTAATAGTTCTAAAAGTAACTATTGGGTACTAAATGCTATTAAGTAATTGCTAAGTATTAATAATAATAACATTTTTATTTGGTCATTTTTCTTTTTGTTTTATAGAGAAGACATTGGGAAAAATTGGCTTTCCTGTGGCTTTTTAACCATTTTACAAAATAAGTGATTTTATTGCATCATTTGTTTTCTAGTATAGAATTTAATAATGAAAACTTGGAAAAATCTTGATTTATATTGTTTCCCTCCTTCTGTATAGAGTTCAACTCCTATGTGTGATTTGAACTTAAGGTGTATCTCTTTCCCAGATGCATATGTCTCATTTATAGCTTAGAAAACATAAATAATGATTGTTTTAGGGGAGCAAGCATAAAGAAAAAGTGAAATAATTATTACATGTTACTGCATGAACTAATTTATTTACTGAGGTTAGTACTAATCATTTATTTCCTAGGTCCATATTTGAATTATGGGGTCATGGAAAATCTCCAGAGGAGCTGTATAATTCTCTTAAAAACTACCCTGTGGAGAAGATGGTGCGTAGTGAACTGTGATTTGTATAGGCGTATCTGCAGATTCTGTAGAAATACTAAGCTTAAAGAATTTATCTGCTTTTATTTTAGGTTCCATTTCTACATTCAGATTCCACCTATAAAATAAAGATTCACACATTTAATAAAACTTTGACACAAGAGGAAAAAGTCAAACGAATAGATGTAAGTCAATTTAACAAACACACCCATGAGATAATGCAGCCTAGCTTCTGTTGATATATAATATCGAATGTCTAATGCATATTTGTAGCACACTGTGACTAAGTACTTTTCATGTTTTGTCTTAATTGAATGCTGATACCAAACTTCAAGATAGGTATTATTATAAAGCACTATTTTTCCTTTTATATTTTAGAAAAAAATTTCTTGGATATTTATAGGACATTAGAGTTACTTTTAATTTTTTTAGGCACTTGAGTTTCTACCATTTGAAGGAAAAGTGAATTTAAAGAAGCCACAGCATATATTCTCTATTTTGGAAGATTATGGTTTGGACCCAAACTGCATCCCTGAGAATCCACGTAATATTTATTTTGGTAGATGGGTAAGCAAGTGTTCTATTGACCTATTTCAGTTTGTTTCTTTAAAAGCTGAATGTTAGGTAATTGTATTTAGCTTTTTATATGTAAAATTTATGCAGCTGAAGAGTAAGAACTAATGTGTGAATTAAAATCAGTGAAAAATATGTGGTTATGTTCTGTTGTTTATCTAGAGATTCCTGTGAAGTGCAAAAGGCTTGTTAGATAGGACCTCAGTAGGAGGTGGTATACCTGGAAACATTAACATGAGGCTTGTCATAAAGTCTTAACTGCTTTTGTAGTAAAGCAGAAAAAAGGCAGAGTGCTGTGCTCACTTGTGGAGCTCTCCAGTCACTGCAGAGCAGTTCTGCCCCCTTACCTGAGGCTGTGAATCGGTGAGTAGAAGCTGTGGCTTATGTTACAGAATATTGTTATATAGGAGAAAGGAGACGTGGGTAAAGCTTACCACCAACTCCTAGGCTAATTGCATTCAAATTCGATTCATTGATTCGGTTTGAAAAGTCAAAGTAAATGGCAACCCACTAAGAAATAACTTACCTATCACATGTTTTTTTAAAGGAACAAGTTTATAGCAGAGATAAGTGGAAAGAAGTTATCATCAGGATACTGTGGTTTTATTGTAACTATCTTACGTCTGTTCTGTATAGGTACACTAATTTGAAAATATTTCTGATCTAGATTGCAGATGGACAGAGAGAGCTTATTGAGTCATACAGTGTCAAAAAGAGACACTTTATTGGAAATACAAGCATGGATGCTGGTTTATCATTTATTATGACTAACCATGGAAAAGTGAAGGAAAATGATATTGTCTTTGATCCATTTGTTGGAACAGGTATTTTTATTTTACTGTTAAGTAGAGGTGTTGCTTGTTTATATTATTCATGGTCATAATAATATTTTTGCTAAAAGAATGGACAGAATAATCTTCTAATTTTCATTAGGTAGTGCTAAAAGACAATAACACATTTGTGTAATAACCAGGGTATAACACTTTTGCTGCTTCAAGGATGAATGCTGGTAGAATTTTGTGGGTTTTTTTTCTCGAGTAAAGCACTAGGGGGAGCATACAATACATTGTGATACCATATATAGTGGAAATATTGTAAAGCTATATAGTTTATTTAAGTAGTAAAACTTGGGGGAAAAAAAAGACTTAAGTGACCTGATAAAAAAATACATGTTCATCTGTTAAAATTGAAAACCATATACTTAACGTAGAGAAAAATGGTTAATGTGTGCTTGTGTTTGATTTGGTTTGTGGAAGTTTAGTAAGTCTGAAAATAAGAAAAATGATTGCTATCAGTGGGCTGGAGTCTTGTTGCTGAGACTACCACGTGGGTTCTGTATACAGCTTGATTGGGTGTCCTCATAATTAACTTTGTGTGGAAGTCCTAAAATGCCAAGTTTACTTCATTTCACTCTAAAGACATTTTCCTGCTTTAACCCATTACTAGGGATTATTCATATTTAGATCTGTCTGTATAAATTCATTGTGATTCAGATTGTGTAGGAACAAATTATGCTTGTGCTTGGAATTTCTCCCTGTAGCCATCATTTTCCATCAGAAACTTTGTAAGTAGTGATGACGCAGTAGCTAACATTTGTTGAATAGGAAACAAATCAGGTACTGAGCTATGCAGGCTAATGTTATTCTCCAATTTAGTTCTTAGAACTAACATGGGGATACGTTTTAAAGTTCTCCTAAGAAGAGTGTGGCACAGAGAGAGGCTAAATGACTTGTCCAAGGTTATACAGTGTATGAATTTTATAGGATTCAAATTCAAGCTTCTAACTCCAGAGCTCATGCTCTTAATTACTATGATAGAGCTGTCTCTCTGCTTTAGGCTCTGCCAGCCAGCTATTACACCATAATTTAACTTGAGGAGTATGACTACATGTGATAAGGAAGAAATAGTATCAAGGTCAAGAGATTTCTAACTGATGGGATGGTTTTCTGTATTGTTGAATTAATCCGCTAGTGAGCTCTTCTCTTAACCCTTGGTCTCATTTGCTTTATCATTTGTTTTCTCTTTATGTCTATATACATAGTATTTTCTTCTGCACCATTTGAGAAGTAAGGTGTAGCCATTACATCCCTTTACCCCTCAAATACTTCAGTATATATTTCTTAAGAATAAGGATAATTCCTTCCATAACCATAGTATACTTTTCAATGTTAGTCATGTACTGTTAATAAAGTACTTTTATGTTCATATTCCAGTTTTGGTAATTGACCCCTAATGTCCTTTCTACCATCTTTTTTCCTTTCCAGTCTAGCATCAGATATTGTATTTTGTTGTCAAAGTTTTTTTGATACCTTTGATGTGAAACATATTCAAAGCCTTTCTTTTTCTTTTGTGAAATTTGCATTTTTGCACTATCCCTCCTGCCTTTATTTTTTCATCTAGAAAGTTCTTCAGTTTGGGTCATTCTGTGTATCCTCATGATCAGATTTAGGTTATACATTCTGGGCTGAATTTCTACATCAGTGAATTATATCCAACATGATAGCTATCTGCCCCTCACTGCTATGTTAATTTTGATCAGCTTGTTAAGATGGTATTTAATTTTTTTCATGATATGATTACTATTTTTTTCCCCTTTCAGTTAACAGTCAATCTGTGAGAAACATGTTAAGACCTGTAAATATTCTGTTCTGCACCTAAATCCCCCTTAACCCTGTCAAGTTGTCAGATTTAGCATCCATTGATGCCTCTTGCCTGAATCAGTCTTGACTGTAATAGTTACAAAGGGATGATTTTATAGCTCCAACACTCCCTCCACATTTACCAGGTGACACCCATTCTGCTCTCCTATGTATTTATCTTTTATTAATATAAACAGGTAGATTTCCCAGTTTTTCCTCCTGATGGTCTATATGTGTTACTTACCTTAATTATTTTGTTACTCAGACTGTCCCAGATTTGTCTAGTAAGAGCCCTTTTGCATTAGACCTTTGGGACATACATGTTCCTATATTCTTTTTTTGTGTGTGCTTCCTTACTTTCTGGCTCATCTCCTACTTACCCAAACCATGGAATCAGTCATTTCTCATAACCCTGTTTCCTTTAGTGGGGAATGGTATTAGAGATGAAGATCTGAGTGCTAGGTATCTTTTTTTCCAGACCCTTTCAGCAGATAAACTAGGAAAGATATGTGTGTATATATATAACATGCATGTGCAAATGCACATACTCCTGCATACATACTGTATGCATATAGACGTACATGCACATATTTTAGAAATTGTGAATTTTGATTTCTGTTGTAAATTCCAGTCTGTCCTGACGGATATCTTTCTTACCTATTCCCATTACATATTTATATGTACCTTCTCTACAGTGAGAATGCTGATTCCTATCAACATCAACACATTTACTCTTTTATTTATTCTTACAATGCAGCTAAAGTAGTTTCAAAATTGCTTTGTCTAAACACTAAAAAAGAAAAAAAAAAGATTCTACTTAAAGGATATTTTTTTCAGGATATATATTCAGTTCTCTACCCTGCCTTAGGGGCAATAAAGTCAAATGTTGTATTTTCTTCTTCCCCTTCATTTAAAATTCAGTTTAAGTTCATTTTATCCATTCTTCTTCAGTTTTAAAGTTCTGTTCCTTCCCATTCTTGTTGATTTACCTTTATTTTCAAATATGTAGATTATTTGCATCCAACAGTCAGAACTATAGAAGAAGGTATACTCAGAGAAATATCACTCCCTTCCATACCCTTTCCATCCTGCTCCCCATTCCTTGTAGGTAATGAACTTACTTGTTTTCTAATTGATTTATCCTGGTTTTTGAAATGACGAAAAGCAGAT